ATCATGAAATTTTATAGATGAGAGTTCTTGGCCAAATACATTTTTCCACTGTGACATGGTAGAAAAAAGATTCAAATTCAGTTGATTTCTTGGGCACTGTTTATTAAAACAAAACTACAATTTACTAATTGGCTGCCTCACTTACCAGGCAAAGATTAGTTGATTACATTAAATATTAGATTTTGCAAACAAATAAATCTTATCTGAACTCTCCTTCTCCCATATCTATGAGACACACAGAGAGGAATAGATACTGCCCTTTTAGATGCAGAGTATCAAATCTCTCTCATTACTCTTCAGAACACTAACTGTAATGTGTCTTGACATGGACATCTTTAGGTTTATTCTACTTGAGGTTTGTTTTAAATTTATGCAATTGAACTTAACTTAAATATGCAGGTATGAAACAATAAAAATATTAATTTAATCCCCTCTTTGAGAAATATTATAATTGAGATTATCTTAAAAATATTAGATAAAGCATACCTTCAGTCCAATTTCATTGTGGCCTATTTATAATTAAGAATCCCACTGTTCCTTTTATATCCCCCTTCTTTCATAAGACTGACCTTGAGGGGACAGAAGAGCTTCCTTTATCAGTGGACTAGGGAAGAGATGTAGGGGAGAGAGTAAGAGAGAGGGTGAGACAAGGAGAAGATGAGGGAAGGGGAGGGGGCTACAACTGGGATACAAAGTGAAAAAACTGTAAATAATATTAACAGTAATAAAAATAATAAACAATCCTTTTGGTGAATATTTTGTTTCTACCAGCACTCCCTTTTCTGCCTATAAGCCAGAACAATATGGATGAAGTTTCCTCTCCAAGGATAGAATTAAGGGATAACAAAAATAAGCCTCCATGCATTCACTAGTACCTATATTTAATTTCATATTAAGTAATGTCCAAGTTCTTAAGTAATATGTATAGCTACTGCTGAGCTTTTTAGATATGCTTCTCGCTGCTGCTTAAAGTCAACTCTATTCAAGTACATCTTGTCTTTCTGCTTAGTCAACAAATACTGGTTGTGCTTTATTCTGATTCTTTTGGATATTCTCTACTGTGTTGGACATCAGCAACTCAGGTGTACTCAAGTAGAAATCCCCTGAGGCTCCCAGGGAGATTCTTCAGGTATCACTTCTGTCAACACTGAGTTGCATTTCATGCTGCTGGTGCTACTTTGAGAAATGATTTAATTTCTGCTGCACTTAATTCTCTTTCTATTTGAACCTCGGCCCTGAACAACTGACAATGAAAAGGGGAAGAATCAAGTATATTTCTAAGAAATTGCTTATTTAACTAGATGGTAGCAGGGTGGATAAAGCAGCATATTCAGTAATCATTTGAATCGGGGGGGGGGAGTTTCATGCTTTGAGGTTTCTGCAAAAAATAGATGAATCTCAAGCTCAGAAAAGACATATGGGTTGTAGACATAGGGAAGGAAGTTTATCTGAGCAATCTACCCTCTGTGTAGTAGCGGTATAAGACGTCTAACCAAATTGCAGTCTATTCTGAAACCATGTTAGTGTCTTCATTATCCTGTGATTGTATAAAGACCAAACAAACAAACAAACAAAAAGATATATACCAGAACTAGGGCTAAATTTAGACCTTTGATTTGAATCTTTCTCCTAGTAGTACAGAATATACTACACTTATATCAATTCTAGAACACTTCATGTTTTTATAAGATTATGTTTAGGTTAAGTATGTTCCTCTAAAAAGGATGACCAAGTACTGTTTCTCCTATCTATTCATAGGAAAAAAAGAAGAAAGTACAGTACCTTCAGGCCATTAATTTTCTTGAGAGAAATTATGGTATGAATTATTCAGTATGTCACAAAAAGACCATAAATTATTTGAGCATTGTACACTTTAACTATAGCTGAATCTACAATTACTAAAGCGGCACAGTGAATAAGCCTAATGGTGCATAAATTAGAGCTTTATCCTTTGCTTGGGGAGGCGGCTTCTGAGCCAACTATTTAAGTCAACATTACTCTTCTCAAAAATATTTCATCTTCTTTCTATTCTTTTCAGAACAACAAAAACAAACAACAACTTAACAAGCAAGTGACAAGCCAAGTGTGGTGTATATTTGTAGTCCCAACTCTTGGGGTTGTGGTGGCAAGGTGGGAGGACAACTAAAAGTTGAAGGTCACCTGTAAATAATAAGTGTCAGGTTAGCAAGACCTTGTCTCAAATAAAATAAAAAACAAAAACAACAATAACAAGAAAAATATCAAACTACAGTGACAACACATTTTAATTTGTCCATAAGTCTTCACTTGCAGATGTTTATTGCAATGAGTCACTGGTTTGGTTCGAGTTCTCTGGCTTCTGTGACATTATCACTATTTTCTCTTCACTAGGACTCCTCAAGGTTATCCTCTTGTAGCCCTGTGTCATTTGAGATCTTGTAGCTTTGGATGAGTAGGACTAGCACTTTCACGTGCAGGGCCTGTTATCCCAATTGCTGCATCCTGTGAGGATCAGGTTCAACTCAATAGATCCCATGACCCCAGGTTCAGCTCTCCCGACAAGGTGACAGGGATCAATGGGTGGAAGGCGCTTCCTCCCCTCTTTCTGCCCAGGTCAATTCACAGCAGAGGAGTGATGGGGCCAGCCCTCCCTCTCTTACACCCTTGGGGCTGGCTCACCCACATCCCTGCCACCATGGCCAGCTTCACTATACTCCTCAGGCAAGGTGCAGGCTCTACCAATTATTGCAGCATCAAGGGGCATGGCCAACTCATCTCTTCTCATGACCCCAGGGCAGGATCTCCTGATTGCCAAGTGGCAGAACCATCTGTCCTGCACTCTTGCCTTCAGGGCTAGCTTGTCTGCAAGCCTGTCACCAGGGTCAACTCTGCTTGTTGTCCGGGTAAGTTGCAGGACCCTTTCTCCAGAGTGCTGCAGCTGGTGAGGGACAGGGAAAGCTCTCTAGAGCTCATGACCCTGTGTGCAGCTTTCTGGACTGCCTGAAGTGGAGAATCAATTCTGGCCCCATGCTACCCCACAAAAAATGAATGGTGGGGTCAGATCAATCACATTCACACCCTTGGCTGGCTCACACACACCCCTGCCACCAGAGCCAGCTCCACTGTGCTGCCTGGGTGAGGAACAGGGTCCCTTGGTGACATCCTCCATCCCTGCTGCATGTCATGGGGTCAACTGAATGTCTATGACCTGCTTGTGCCATGCACCGGAGAGCATGTCTGTAGGTGCCATGGCAATCTGCAGTTTTCTATCTTCTTCCTCCCATGCTGCACTGCCTGGATTTAATTTCATTTGATTTGATTTTTATGTGTCCTAGGCATAAATCAGCTTTGACCATCAAGCCAGACATCAGGCTACGATGAACAAAGGATTGGCATCTTCTCTGTTTCCGACTGATAAAAGAGCAATACCACCAACAAAGTGTCTCTTTGTCCATTGCCAGGTGACAGAGTTATATTAAAAACAAAACAAAAACATTTCTTACACTAGGATCCACAGAAATGTCCATTTTAAGGCTTAAGGAGCTCCTACTCCTCGACTGACATGGTTAAATTTTTTTAAATGAGAGCTCCACATTTTGATTGTGCACTTGGACCTTCAAAATATATACCTGTTTCTGTCATCTAACAAAATTTGATTTCGTGTTCCAGCTTTAGCTATAGAGAATCCTGTATACTTTTTTTTCTTGTTCAAGCCAAAAAAAAAAAAAAAAAAAAAAAGCTGTGTAAATTACTTGAAAAAGTGTTGTGTCTCAACATGATTTTTAATGAGGTTTGGGTGTTGGTAGTTATTTTCTGCATTTTTTAGTTTAGCTGCAGTGCTAATGATATTTTCATAATTTCTGTGGTAAAAGTGAAAGTTTTAAATGTGGTATTGGGATTTTTCTTAGAAATTCTATAGATCTTGTGGAGAGCATTGTTGATAATACATACATATTACAAATAAACACTTTTATGAATTATGTCTAATTTTAGGTAAATATAAAACTATATGATTCCTTGAAGCTTTATTAAACATTCTTGGTATTGTTTGCCCCTTTTCTCCTTCTCTCTTTCCATGCTGATTTCCAACTGCTTCCTCATTTAGAGACCTCATTTTTCTGTTTCCTCCTTCATATCATTGTATCCTGCTGTTCACCTTTCTACTTCCCTGACATGGACCCTGATTTCTGAAGTTCAGAGGTTACTCCTGATTATATAGTTACACATGAAGATTTGGAGCTAGAAACCACAATTGAGAGAGAAAATATGTAGCATTTGTCTTTCTGGGTCTAGGTTATCTCATCAATATATAATCGTTTTAGTTCCACCCCTTTACATGCAACTTTCATGATTGCATTTTTCTTTACAGTTGAATAATATTCTGTTGTGTATATGCACTACATTTTTACTGTCGATTCATCATTTGAAGAACATTTCAGTTGTTTAAATTTCCTATCTATTGCCAAAGGACTGACATTGAACATAGCTAAGCAAGTGTCTCTAAAGGAGGAATGTTGAATCTTTTGGGCATATTCCTAGAGTGTTATAGCTGAACCATGCTGTAGATTCATTTTTAGTTTTTGAAGAATTTTTCATAGGTGATTTTCAAAGTGACCCTACCAGTTAGAAATCCTACCAACAGTGAATGAGGGTTCCTCACATTTTTAACAGAATTTGTTGTAACTTCTTTTGGTGATCTTAGTCATTCTGAAACTGGTGATTTGAAATATCAAAGTTGTTTTAATATGAATTTCCATAATTTATTAAGTTACTGAGTATTTTTATGGTAGTTCTTATTATATTTCTTTTTTTGTGTGTGAATGCTCTGTTCAAATCCTTAGAGCATCTTTAACTGGGATGCTTGTTTTCTTCACTCTTTATTATTTCATTTTCTTTATATGTGCTGTATGGAAATCTCTTTTAGTGGTCTAGCTGGCAAAATTTTTCTTCCACTCTGTGGGCTATTTTTTTACTTGGTTGGTTGTTGTAGCTTTTAAGTTTGATGAGGTCCCACTTGTCAATTGTTGGCCTTTCTTCTTAGGCAAATGAATTCCTATCAGAAAGTCCTTTCCTATACCTCTATCTTGTAAGGCACTACATAGGTTTTCTTTCAGATGTTTCAGTATTTTGGTTTCATATTGAGAACTTTGATTCATTTGGAGTTGATTTTTGTGGAAGGTGACAGACATGGGTCTAATTTCACTTTTCTACATGCAGAAATCCAGTTTTCTAGCATTATTTGTTAAAGATGCTGTCTTTTTCTCCAGTGTATGGTTTTGACCTATTTCTCAAATAACAGATAACAAATGGCTGCATTTAGTTTACTCATGTTTTGTTCATGTTTTATTTCACTGATCTACAAGCAATTTTTTATACCATTGATCTACAAGTCTGTTTTTGTACCAGTACCATACTGTTTTTATTACTATGTCAGTCATGCATTTTTGATAACTGGAAATCCCTTTAGCACTGATATTTTTTTCTCAGGATTATTTTGTCTATCTGGGCTCTTTCGTGATTTCACATGAATTTAAGGTTGTTTTTATTTCCTACTTCTGAGAAGAATGAGGTGAGGAGTTGATTGCATTGATTCTATAAATATTTTTTTATATAATGGTCATTTAAAAATATTAATTTTACCAATCCATAAGCATGACATCTTTGTATCTTATAGTGTCTTTATCTTAGTTAGGGTTATTATTGCTGTGATAAAACACCATGACCAACAGCAACATAGGGATTAAAGGGTTTATTTTGCTCACAGTTCCATATAAAAGTTAACAAAAGCAGAGAAAGCAGGAACTAACTCATTGCAGGATCCTGGAGTCAGGAGTTGATGTAGAGGCCATAGTGGACTGTTTCTTCCTGGCTTGTTCCCCATAGCTTGCTCAGCTTGCGTGCTTATAGAATCTAGGGCCATTAGCCAAGGAGCGGCACCACTCACAATGGACTGACCCCTTCCTCATCAATCACTAATTTAAAAAAAATGTCCTACAGACTTGCTTACTGCCTAATTTTATAAAGACATTTTTTTAATTGAGGTTTTCTCCTCTCAGATGACTTTAGCTCATGTCTAACTGACATAAAACTAGTCAGCACTGTCTTCCTCTATATCTTTCTTTTGTCTTTTTATTAATTATAGTTTATTCACTTTGTATCTCCCCTGTAGCTCCCTCTCTCCTCCCCTTCCAATCCCACCATCCTTTCCCCTTCTCCACCCATGCCCCTCTCCCAGTCCACTGATAAGGGAAGTCTTCCTCCTCTTCTCTCTCATCCTAGACTATCAGGTCTCATCAGGACTGGCTTCATTGTCTTCCTCTGTAGCCTGTTAATGCTGCTCCCCCTTCAGGGGAAGGTGATCAAAGAGCAGGCCAATCAGCTGCACAGATGTAGCCCATGGCAGTTCAGTGTCCAAGTGGGTTTCATAGTATGGAAACAGGAACTGTCTGTGACATGAACTGATTGGCCTCTATATCTTTCTTTGGGAGAGGGGTTATGATGATAATTTATCTTCTTTGAGGCTTATGAATGGGAGTGTGTCCATGATCTCTTTCTTTATATGTTTGTTGTTGGTTTATAAAAACTACCTTACTTATTGATTGTTGCTCTTAGAGCCTGTGCTGTTGGTGTTCTGTTCAGGAAGTTTTCTCCTGTACCAATGAGTTCTAGGGTATTCCCCACTTTTTTTTCTAGCCGATTTAATGTGTCTGGTTTTATGTTGAGGTCTTTGATCCACTTGGACTTCAGTTTTGTGCAGGGTGATAAGTATGGATCTATTTTCATTTTTCTACATGTAGATATCCAGTTGGACCAGCACCATTTGTTAAAGATGCTATCTTTTTTCCATTGTATGGTTTTGGCATCTTTGTCAAAAATCAGGTGTCCGTAAGTGTGTGGGTTTATTTCTGGGTCTTCTGTTCGATTCCATTGATCCACCATTCTGTTTCTATGCCAGTACCATGCAGTTTTTATAACTGTTGCTCTATAGTACAGCTTGAGATCAGGGATGGAGATACCTCCAGAAGATCTTTTATTGTAGAGGATTGTTTTAGCAATTCTCGGTTTCTTGTTATTCCATACGAAGTTGAGAATTTTTCTTTCCAGGTCTGTAAATAATTGTGTTGGCAATTTGATGGGAATTGCATTAAATCTGTAGATTGCTTTTGGTAAGATGGCCATTTTTACTATGTTAATCCTGCCAAGCCATGAGCATGGGAGATCTTTCCATCTTCTCATATCTTCCTCTAATTCTTTCTTCAGAGACTTGAAATTTTTTTCATACAAGTCTTTGACTTGCTTGGTTAGGGTTACGCCAAGGTACTTTATGTCCTTTGTGGCTATTGTGAATGGTGTTGTTTCTCTAATTTCTTTCTCAGCCCTTTTGTCTTTTGTATACAGGAGTGCTACTGATTTTTTTGAGTTAATTTTGTATCCGGCCACTTTGCTGAAGGTGTTTATCAGCTGTAGGAGTTCCCTGGTTAGCAATAAATAGGACCTCATGAAATTGAAAAGCTTCTGTAAAGCAAAGGATACCGTCATCAAAACAAAGCGACTGCCTACAGATTGGGAAAGAATCATCACCAACCCTCTATCTGACAGAGGACTCATATCCAATATATATAAAGAACTAAACAAGCTGAAAAGCAACAAACCAAGTAATCCACTTAAAAAATGGGGAACAGAGCTAAAGAGAGAATTCTCTGCAGAGGAATATCGAATGGCAGAGAAGCACTTAAAGAAATGCTCAACCTCATTAGCCATTAGGGAAATGCAAATCAAAACAACCCTGAGATTTCACCTTACACCCATCAGAATGGCCAAGATGAAAATCTCAAGGGACAACACATGCTGGAGAGGTTGTGGAGAAAGGGGAACCCTTCTCCACTGCTGGTGGGAATGTAAACTGGTACAACCACTCTGGAAATCAATCTGGCGCTTTCTCAGACAACTAGGAATAGCGCTTCCTCAAGATCCAGCCATACCACTCCTAGGCATATACCCAAAAGAGGCGCAAGTACACAACAAGGACATTTGTTCAACCATGTTTGTAGCAGCTTTATTTGTAATAGCCAGAAGCTGGAAACAACCCTGATGCCCCTCAACTGAAGAATGGATGCAGAAACTGTGGTACATCTATACAATGGAGTATTACTCAGCAATGAAAAATAAGGAAATCATGAAATTTGCAGGTAAATGGTGGGACCTGGAAAGGATCATCCTGAGTGAGTTGACCCAGAAGCAAAAAGACACTCACGGTATATACTCACTCATATAAACATACAATATAGAATAAACCCACTAAAAGCTGTACATCTAAACAAACTAAGCAAAAGAGAGGACCCTAACTAAAATGTTCAATCCCCATCCTGAAAGGCAAAGAGGATGTACATCAGAAGAAAACGAAAATAGGAAACAACCTCGGAACCCGCTACAGAGGGCCTCTGAAAGCCAGAAGAAAACAGGAAAC